TGATGATGATGATGATGATGATGATGATGCTGATTATGATGGTGGTGACGATGCTGATGACGATGATGATGATGATGATGATGATGATGATGATGATGATGATGATGATGATGATGATGTTGTCGATACTAACGACGATGATGATGCTGATGATGCTGTGGAGGATGATGACGATGACGAATCTGCTACTAATGACGATGATGATGATGATGATGATGATGATGATGATGATGATGATGATGATGATGATGATGATGATGATGATGATGCTGGTGATGAGGAGGTGGTCATCCTCCTCCTGTTCTCCCTGCTCCTCCTCATCCCTCATCCTCACTCCACCTCCTCCTCCTGCTCCTCCTCCTCCTCCTCCTCCCTCGTCGTCGCCGTCGTCCTCCTTCTCCTCCTCCTCCCCTCCTTCTTCTCCCTCTCCTCCCTGTTCTCCCTCTTCAACCTCTCCTTTTTACCTCTCCTCCCTCTTCTTCCTCTCCTCCTTATCCTCCCTCCTGTCTCTTCTCCTTCCTTCGCTTCCACCTCCTTCTCCACGCGCCACGAATGACATTATGGAGCTTACTCGGATGCACGTCGTTTGAGTATCTCTTGCTCTTTCCTATCCGTGTCTTCCCGCAGCACTTGGGGCGCGTTTTGAGGTTCAGGCTGGTGTTGAAGCAGGGGCGAGCCTGCGCAACGCTTTTGGCTGAATGGCGTGGTAGGTTGGTTCTTTCTTTCAAGAAATTGGGAGACATATAGTTCGGGACTGTCAACAACTTATTGCTCAAGAGGCTTACTCCATTCCGCCGACCTCCACAGGGAAAAACGACGTAGAGGGGTGAGCCCTTTTGGGGGACTTCTTTTGGCCTCTTGGGGGCCTCTTCGGGCCCTCTTGGGCGCCCGCTGGCGGTCTCGGGGGTCCTCTTGGGGCGGAGGGCTTCAAATGTCAGTTCGAGTTGCCCCCCTTGGTCCCTTTTCGGACCCTGTCGGGGCCCTCGTGGCCCATGTTGGGCGACTCTTGGGCCGTCTTTGGGCCCTCTTGGGCCGCCTTGGGGCTCTCTGGGGGGCTTCTTGGGCCGTCTTGGAGCGATCTTGGGGGCCTCTTGAGCAGTCTTGGACGCTGTTGAGACTGAGGAGACGAACATGCTAAGACTGCACGTTCCATAGAAGTGTTTGGGGCGATTCTTGCCTCTTGGGGCTCTCTTGGGGTCCTCTTGGAGCCCTCTTGGGCGTCTTGGAGGCCACCTGTTGTGCAGTCTTGAGGCAATTCTGGTTGTTTTTGAGCTCTCCTCGGCCTGCTGGAGCCCAGCTTGAGTCAGCTGAGAGTCCACGGAGTGTGATTTGGAGGACTCGATCCACAACGCTATAGAGTACAATCGCGGCATGGCACATCGCAATTCAGCACGGCGCAGCACAGCACAGCCCTCGGCACGGTACATTCAGATCGATGCACTCAGCATTGCATTCGCCCGTCGCCCAACCAGGTGTCTTCGAAAACGCTGCCGTGCTTTACATTTCCACATTCCTTTCCGGGTTCGTGGGTCGATCATGTTGAGCTCGCCTCGGCGTGCTGGAGCCCAGCTTGAGTCAGCCGAGAGTCCACGGAGCGTGATTTGGAGGCTCTGGAGGCTCCAGGGGTAAGGGGGGGGAGGATGCCAAGTGTCTCACACGCCTTTCCACCCCTGGCCACAATGGGTCGATCATGTTTTTCTGGGGGGGCATTTGGCCAGCGGCGCCTCCGCTCGCCTCGCTTCTCTTGGCCACTGGGGCGGCCTGGGCGTCCTGGACTGACCTCCGGCTCGGACCGCCGCCCGCGCCGCCGCGCGCCGCCACCCCGCCCGCGGCGCTGGCTGCCAGGCTCTCATAGCTAAAAATAATCAGACTGGTCAGAAAATCGGCCCCAGACTATTTTTTGACTATTTCGGAACATTCCTCCTGTCGAGGGGCAGGCCCGACTTAACACGACGGCCCGGCGGCCGCCCCGCCCGCTCCCGCGCGGCGCCGGCCACGCTTCGGTGCGGTCTCTCTCCCGCGCCCACTGGGCTCGACCAAGAAGCCAACGATACCACCCCACCTACGGCCCCCCATGCTGCGCTGCGGCCCGTCGGGGGCCGTGGTGCATACCACGTAAGAGCCCACGCAGTTTTGCCTGGTCTGCGCTGTGCCCCGTGGGGCCGCAGGTGGGGTGGTGTCGTTTGTTTTCTGGCCCGTGGGCCTCTTCCCGGCAGTGTGCCGGCAAGCGCCCGGGATGGCGGTGTTCGGGTCGGGTGTGGCCCTTGGCGCAAGGTGCCCCCAGGATTTCCAGGGAGTCCCCACGGCCTCCAGAGCACCCCTGCAGGTCTACGAAATGGAGCGAGAGGTTGTGGGCACCTTTGGGCCAGGGGCACCTTCAGCAACTCCCGACTGGGCGAGAGGCGTTGCCCAGTATCGTGCATGCTAGATCTGTCCGCGCACTTTTCGGCGTGCGGCTTGCGATGCGATGATGCGATGCGGGTCTCCTCGGGAGCCCAGGCGGCCACTGAGTGTAGCACCCGTGGTGGAGGAGGCGGAGATGGAGATGGAGATGGAGATGGAGACGGAGATGGAGGTGGATAGGAAGGAGCAGGCGGGAGGAAGGATGAGGGCGGAGGGATGAGGGATGTCGCGCAGGTCTCTGCTTGCTGAACCCCACCCCCCTCGGGGCCCAATCGGCACCTGCCAGCTGCTCTGCGATGCTGCAGCTCGCCGGGCCTTCAAGCCGCTTGCACTCCCACGCGGGGCTCAACGCTGATCAGCTGGCGCCTGCGGTCCACTTTGGGCCTGCTTCTTCCACCGGGCTCTAAGCAGCCCCGTGCACGCCTTCGGCCGCCTCCGCCGCTGCCGCCATTCGCAGCGTCTGGTGGCATTTCTAAATTTTGGTCGCATTCCGTTCAAGCATGCATTCGCGACGGTGCTGCCACCTGTCCGGGGGCGGAAGAGTGTGTGTGTGTGAGAGTGTGTGTGTGTGTGTGTGTGTCGTGCGTGTCGTGCGTGTCGTGCGTGTCGTATCGTGTGTGTGTCCTGTGTGCGCGTGTCGTGTGTGTGTGTGTGTGTGTGTGCGTGTGTGGGTGTCGTGCGTGTCGTGTGTGTGTGTGTGTGTGTGTGTGGTGTGTGTGAGTTGTGTGTGTGTGTGTGTGTGTGTTGTGTGTGTGTGTGTGTGTGGTGCGTGTCGTGTGTGTGTGTGTTGTGTACGTGTGTGTGTGTGTGTGTATGTGTGTGTGTGTGTTTGTGTGTTTGTGTTTGTGTTTGTGTTTGTGTTTGTGTTTGTGTTTGTGCTTGTGTGTGGTGTGTGTGTGTGTGTGTGGTGTGTGTGTGTTGTGTTGTGTGTTGTGTGGTTGTGGTGTGTGTGTGTGTGTGTGTGTTATGTGTGTGCGTAGCACACGGCGCCCGTGGTGCCTGCGCCCACGCCGCAGCGGCGGCAGGCCCGCCCTGTCTCTGGCGCCATCGTTGGCGGGCCGCCCTGCCCAGCTCTGCCGCGGCCTCGGCGGAGCCGCCCTCGGCGCGGGCGCCGCGCCTTCGTGGGCCTGCCTCGCCGGCGAGCAGCAGCTCGCTGCGAGGCAGCGCCGCCTCCGCGCCGGAGCTCGGCAGGGCCGCCCCCGCGGGCGCTTCCCCTTGCCGCCGCGGCAGGCGGCGGCCTGGCTGGCGTCGCGGGCACCGCCGACCTGGTGCTGGCCTCCGTGGCGGCAGCTTCAGTCGGGGGGTGGACAGACCTCCTACCCTGACACGTCGAATAGCGAGTTGGCCGTTTTCGGTTCGCGAGAGGGCGTCGCGGCCGTCATTCTTGCGGGTCCAGGTCCGTCGGTTTCGGTCCTAGGCCGTCTTCTCCAAAGGGTGGTTTACTAAAGGGCGGCTTGTCCACCGCCGATTCAGGCAGCCGCAGGCACAGGTGTCACCAGCTGGCGAGCGGCGCAGCTCGAGGATCCCAGCGTCGACGACGGATTCGAGGGCACCGTGAAGCGTGTGGCCAGTATCGGCATTTACGTGGACAGCGGCGCAGAGAAGGACGCTCTGCTCCCATCGATGATGATCCCAAAGGGCACCAGGTACACGGTGGGCGACAAAACCTCCAGACTGACCATCACGGAGGTCCAGACGGGAGACGTCCCAGCCGCGCGCAAGATCCGCCTGAACGTCAAGGCGGCCTCCTGTCAAGGTGAAGGAGGGCTCGGGGGCGGCGGACTCGCAGAGACAAAATTCGGAACGAATTTTTTGGAGGTGGTCTTTGTGCGCAGAATCGTTGCCCGCCTCTTGTTTGGCCGCCTCCTCCTGGACTCGCCGCGGGCGGGCGCGGCTTTGTTTTCGTTCCGTTCTGGCGCGTGTTGGTGCGCCTTTTCGGTCGACAGTCGCCAGCGTCGCGTTTTTTCGTTATGGGAGGGTCGCCTGCCATGCCCAGAGCGCGCGGCCCGCGGCGAGATCATCCGGGGCACCTGCGAGGGGGCCGCTCCCAACATGGGCGCCTCCTTCCACGGCGACGGGCCGTCCGACGCCCTGCCGCCGCTGCGCTTCCCGACCGAGCCCCTGGAGGAGTCGAGGACCTGGTCGACGGCCAAGAGGTCCAGGGCACCGCCATCAGGGCCAACCCCCAGTTCGGCCTCCTCCTCCTCCTGCTCCTCCTCCTCCTCCTCCTCCTCCTCCTCCCTCCCTGCCCTCCCTCCCTGCCTCCCTGCCCTCCCTCCCTGCCTCCCTGCCCTCCCTCCCTGCCCTCCCGCCCCCGCGCCAGCGCCTTTGCCGGCGGCGCGGCCAGCGCGACGCCCTGTCTCTCGCATCGGCCAGTTGGAGAAAAGCCCGTCGACGAGCACGCGGAGGGCAAGCAGGCCGAGGGCCTGCGCGTCTCGACCGCCAGCCTCGAGAGGCAGGGATCTGGAGGTCTCGACGCAGCAGAGGCCCTCCGAGTGCAGGGCGGGCGAGGCCCTCGAGGGCAGCGTCGATCGGGCCGGACGAAGGGGGGGGATTGGGAAGGGGGGGGTTACGAAATTTGCTGCATGCAGCTGGTTTCGGCCTCACCGACGGGCCCCTTCCTCGATGCATGGCCGCCTCCGGCGCCGGCAGGCGCCGGGAAAATCAGCTACGTGAGCTGATTCTCCCCCCCCCCCCTTTGCTATCGAGTCTAGAGCACTACGAAGTTCGGGGTCTTCTTCGACGCCAGGATCACGGTTTCGGTGCTCTGCCCGCTCTCGTTCGTGGGCAGGCAGGCCAGCGAGTGGACCGTCGGCGAGGTGGCCGACATCACCATCGTGACCATCGAGGTTGCGACCAGCAGGATCTCCGTGTTCACCCAGGCGGGCGCGCCGATCTCCGCCTTCCCCCGCGGCGCGCAGGTCTCTGGCACGATCACCAAGAAGACGGCGGGCGGCCTCAGCATCGACGTCGGCGCCATTCGCGAGGCAGACATCCGCGAGAAGAGCCTCTCGAAGCCACTGTCAGAGCATGACGAGGGCGATGAGATCACCAACCTCTTCGACGTCGAATCCGACACCGCCGGAAGCCAGCTCGAGGTCAGATCCACCAAGGTCCTGAATGGCCAACAGGAGGACGAGACGACGTCCCTGAGCGAGCTCAAGGTCGGTGACACGGTGGACAGCAATGTGTCAGGCGGCATGGACTTCGGCGTCTTCGTGGACTTGGGTGCCGAGCACGACGCGTTGTACTCGGTGTCCGAGCTCGACAAGCTCAATGATCTGTTCAAGCGCGCACAGGAGCTGACGGGCCTCAAGATCATCCAGGCGGACCCGTCCAGGCGGCACCTGGCCGTCTCCTCGAAGAAGCTTGCTGGCGACTTCTCTGAGGGCGAGGTGATCGATGGAAAGGCTGACAAATCATGAATTTCGAAACTTTCATCGAGATTGGAGCCTCGTTCCAGGCGCTGCTTCCGACGCGCTTGATGAAGGACGGCGCAGAGTACAAGAGTGGCGACGAGCTCAAGGGTCTGGTCGTCGTCAATGTCGACGCCGCGGGAAACAAGATGGTCTCCGGAGAGCCTGGAGCCGAGGCCGCGGGAGGCAGCGGCGTCAAGATCGGCGACCTGCAGGTGGGCCAGCAGCTCCAGGGCACCGTTCGTGCGCTCAAGGAGTTCGGTACCTTCGTCGACATCGGCCCGGGCAGGATGGATGCGCTGCTGCCCGCGAGCTTCGCGAAGGCGACGGAGGGCTTCTCCATCGAGTCGCTTGAGATCGAGTACTCCAGAGTTCGTAATAAAAGGGAGGGGGTCTGGACCCTCCAAGACACGCCATTTCAGACCCCCCCGAAATGAGACCCCCCTCCCTTTATTACGAAATCTGGAGTGCCAAGTCCCGATTGCGCAGAGGGCGGTGGACGTGCCCGAGAGCTTCGAGTTCGCGGCGAAGGAGACCGACTCTGCGCTTCTCGCGGACGCCAAGCTGCACTTCACCGGAAGCGAGGGGACCAGGCAGTCCTTGCCGCTGTGCGTCCCCGTTGTGCCCCTGAGGGCACCCGCCTGCCCGGCCGTCCATGCAAACGCTTCAGCGATTGAGCTTGATGCCTCAGGCCCCAGGCCATTCCTGATTTCACCACGTCGACGGATTCTTGCACATTTGCTTTTCCAGCGAGCCCGACCGCCCTCCAGGGGCCTGGGCGCGGGCGACCCCCGCACCGCTGCTTCCGCTTCCGCTTCCGTCCCCGTGCCCGTGCAGCTGCGCGAGGGCCCCACGGTGCAAGCGGAGATCCCCGAGCTGGGCCTCCGTGACACCGTCATTTCTTACGACGACTCAGGAGCCACAATGACCACCGCAAGCACATGCAGCCGCCGCTCCACGATCCCAACTGGAGACACCGGCCGATTCCAGGCGAGGTCGGCAGGTACTGCGCGCTCGACGCGATCAAGAGGTGGTGCGGCCGGTCGCAGAGGGAGCCGCTCCCCGACTGAAAGGAGACGCACCAGCAGGCTTCTCGCTGCGAGGGCACCCCAGCGCTTCTGGCCGCGGCGTCCAGGGCTGTGCTCCCTGTTCATTAGCATTGCCGTCTGCACTTCTCACGGCGGCGGGGCCTCCGCGCGTGCTGCCCACCGGGCGGGCATTCGGCCGCCCTGTGGCCCCTCCTCCCCCCCCCTGCCTTCGTGTTGTGCCTCCGTCTTCCCCCTCGCCCCCATCCTCGGCTGGCTCCTCCCCCTCTTCGCGTGGCGTGTGGTTTCTCCCTCCTTCCCCTCGGACTTCCCACCCCCCCGTCGGTCGGGCCCTCTCCCTTGCGTCCGTCTCTCCTCCCCCTCGGCTGTCCGCTGTCGCTCCTCGCTCCTCGCTCCTCGCTCTCCTTGCTCGGCTCTCCTTTTCTCCTCCTCCTCCTCCTCCTCCTCCTGGTCGTCCTGGTTCTGGCCGGCTTTGGCCCTGCGATCGAGCCCGCCCGCGCTCGCTTGCGCGCCGCCTCGGCTCCGCCGGCCCGGCCTGCTCGCGCGCGCTGGCTGTTGTAACGGTGCGTTGAGTCGCCCACCCGCGAACGCTCGATGTGTGTGTGTGTGTGTGCTCGTTCACGGGCGTTGACCTGGTCACGGCCCTCCCCACGCAGCACTCGAGGATGGTGTTCCTGGCGCGCCGTTGACGGCAACACCATGTCACTCTCCCTCTGGGACTTCGCCCCCGGCTCCTGTCCAAGGCGTAACTTTTCCTGTGCAAGTTCTTCGGCGCCGCCTGTACCCCGCGCCCTTCGGCCGCCTGAGGCCCCGCCCGCCCGCGCCCTGTCTCCCCAATTAGTGCTTTGCGCGGCCCGCCTAGCTCTTAACTGGAAGAGGTTCGCTCTCGACCCGCACACCAAAAAGTGTGTGTGTGTGTGTGTGTGTGCTCGAGGGTTCGGCATCTAGTCGCGCGCGCATTCTCTTCACCGACTTTGGACGCCCTGTCGTTGTGCGCGGGTCCGTGACGCCAAAACACGTGTGTGTGTGTGTGCTTGTGTGCTTGTGTGTGTGTGTGTGTGTGTGTGTGTGTGTGTGTGTTCGTGCGTGGCCTGGCCTTTCCTGGGCCGCTCCACCCACAAAATTGGGTGCTATCCGCATGGATGTACATCGACGGCGGAGGGAAGAGTGTGCGAGTGGGACGACCGGGGCGCTGCACAGGCGGGGCGGCAGTCGCGAGCGCGGGTGCCCCGTGCAAGGACCGTCTTCAGCAGCCTGGGCGGGAAGTCCAGCAAACCCAGCGCCAGCCTGTCGACGTCCCAGCTGATGCGGACGCTGCATGCCCACAGGCGCCTCAGCCCCCGCTTTCTCTTCACGGACGCTCTCTTCCTCTGAGACCCCTCGTCGGCAACTCCCCATGTCCGAGCCTCGGGCAAGCACGCTGTTGAATGCCAGTCCTCCGCGCGCGCGGGCTTTGCAGTACGTTCGATATCGATATCGACCTGAAATGAGGTGGTGGAGTCGCGTGCAGCCCACCATGTAGTCTGAATCTGACCCTCTCTCCCTCCGTCTCCCCATCATCACTCCTTCTTGTTTCTCTCCCCTTCTTCCTCCTCCCCTATCCCTCTTCCCTACATATAACCTCTCCCCGACGCACCACTAGACGTAGCGTCGGGGCGGCCTGGGCGTTTCGCATCAGACCTCCTCGCAACTCCTTATCTCGAATCTGGAGAATTTCTAACAGTTGCACGGATGGAACACAAATAGGTTGAAACATAAGGTTTTCGCCATGGCGCCACGCACGCTCGTTTTCAACATGGGGTTGTCGACTTTGCGCCGCGCACACCCGTCCCAAAACATCACAATAGTTACACAGGCGGAGCACAGGTCGTTTTCAACGTGGGGATCCCAACGCCTCTGTGACCGTCCTAGCTCTTGCGATAAAGGCTAAACACATTTCGAAGTGCGGAGCAAGTTATTTGTGTATAGCTCGCTTTGCAGACCAATCTGAACTGACTACCTACCAGACCGCCAGCGAATTTCTTCTGCGATGAGACAGAAGGTAATGTGCGATTTTCAGTTGCAAAAAGTGCGTTTGGCGCGAGCTCGCTCGAGGAAAATGCGCTCCCCACTTCGGATCCTCGATGAATGACGGGGTCCGCAAACACACGTTTCCTAAACAAAAACGGGGTGCGGAGCATTTTGCGCAGAATCCATGATAAAACACAGGTGTGGAGACCCTAAATTTTTAAAGCAAATATTGGAATGTTGACTTTTGTGTGCCCGCTCGAGGATGGCGCGTCCTGCGCGCAGAACTTTCGAGGATGTCTCGAGCGAAGCGCTTCTTTTGGAGAGGTCAAGAGGCCTGAACGCTCCAGGATGCCCTGGTGGTTCTGGGAGCGTGAATTCCGCGTAATTTACGGGGCAGCGTGGCAGCGCGGACGTAGCGTAATCCGTAAGGGCTTCGCCCCCTGCCTCCGGCCCCCTCTCTCGGAGAATGGGCCATGGAAGAGCTAAGTCATGAGGCCTTGGCGCTGTCGTGAAGCAGTATCGAAACTTCATGCGAAGCCGATTCGCAATCAGCAAAACCAACTGATCACAAGAGGGGTTACCACACCTGGCGATTGGTAAGACGTGTATGGTTTACGGGCTTGGTTACCACACCTTGCGATTAAAGGGCCGAGGGAGTTCTCGCAGTTTGGGTTACCACGCCTTGCGATGGATGTGCGTGAAGGGTGGCACCGAATTTCAGAAATGTGGCAAATCCCCTGTGTTTTTGGACCCTGACCCCGCGGATCTGCGTAAGGGGTGGCGCCGAATTTCAGAAATGTGGCAATCCCCTGTGTTTTTGGACCCTGACCCCGCGGATCTGCGTGAGGGGTGGCACCGAATTTCAGAAATGTGGCAAATCCCATGTGTTTTTGGACCCTGACCCCGCGGATCTGCGTGAGGGGTGGCACTGAATTTTAGAAATGTGGCAAATCCCCTATGTTTTTGGACCCTGACCCTGCGGATCTGCGTGAGGGGTGTGATTTCGAGCCCCCCCAGCAATTCAGACAACGCGCCCAGGTGGTGCTAAAAATCTGGTTTGGGCCTCCCCCCCCTCGCGCGGTCAATCAACTAGTTACAGTAACCAGCAAGAAGCAGAACTGTAACACTGGAAACTACAAACTACGACTGGTACAGGAAACTGCGAATCACAGGCCTACAGCCTGGTGGCCCCACAAGGGGGCCGGCGGATTTACGAGGGATCGTGTTTACGAGGGCCCTGGGAGCCCGGACGCAGGCGTAACTTACGAGGGATCGCGGCCCTGGGAGTGCGGACGCACCGTAATTTACGAGGGATCGTTGCTTTTTGGGAGCTGACGCAAAATAATTTACGGGGGATCGCGACGTTGGCAGCGCGGGCGCAGAGTAATTTACAAGGGATCGTGGCCCTGGGAGCGCGGACGCAGCGTAGTTTACGAGGGATCGCGGCCCTGGGAGCGCGGACGCAGCGTAATTTACGCGGGATCGTGGCATTGGGCGCGCAAATCTTGCGTGATTTGCGAAAGAGCGTGGCCCTGGCAGCGCTGACAAAGCGTAGTTTACAAGGGGTTCCCTGGCACGTTCCGTGGCGCGTCCCGTGGCGAGTCCCCCTGGCACGTCGCGCGGCACGTCCCTTGGCACGTCCCGTGGCACGCCCGTTGGCACGTTCCGTAGATCGTCCCCTTGGCACGTCCGGCGGTGCGTCCCCATGGCACGTCCCTTGGCACGTCCCCTGGCGCGTCCCTTGGGACGTTCCGCGGCACGTCCCCCTGGCATGTTCCCCTGACATCGCCCAATTGCAGATGCACTTGAGGTCCTTAGAAACGGTTCCATGCCTCGCAGTTTTCAATCCCTTTCCGGGTTCGTGGGTCGATCATGTTTCAATTTTCCGCGACCCCCCCCCTTGGGAAAGGATGGCAAATTGAGGCTTTCGAGTCAGGTTGGGGTGGCTTGGTGGGTAGTGATGAATGGGGTCGTTCGTCCAGCAGCCGCTTGTGCCCGCGCGGCGCACGCGAACTCCAGGTCGAGCGTCGCTGCGCATGCCAGGATAATCCACATCGCACCATGCCGACGTGTGATCTGTCCGCGAGGTGATGCTCCCCTGCATGCTCTGGAATGGTGGAGGGTCACACTCGTGGGTGCTGGAGGAAGGGAGGAGGAGGAGGAGGAGGAGGAGGAGGAGGAGCAGGAGGAGGAGGAGCAGGAGGAGGAGGAGGAGGAGGAGGAGGAGGAGGAGGAGGCGGAGGAGGAGGTGAAGGCGGAGGGGGAGGGGGAGGGGGAGGGGGGGAGGGGTGGTCCAGGATACACCAAAGATGCTGCAGCCCACCCTCGCGTCCCAAGTCCCCTCCCCGTGAGTCCCCGCAGCTGTTCCGTTCCCACTGCGGGAGGCGCCGTCCGCGACTGACGAGCCACCCCGCGGGCCTGCCGTTCCGGCGAAGCACCGCTGTGTTGAGGACCTGCCTTCCGTCCTTCGCTTGTGGGATCTGCGCAGAGGCAGGGCCGTGCTGTTTGAGGCTGTTTGCGCTGTTTGAGGCCGGCGGCCAAGTGGGGGTGGTGCCGGTGGTCGTGTCTCGGGGTGGCTCTCGAGGCACTTCGCCATGGCGGCGCAGATGTGACGCCTGGGGCGTGTCTGCGCTGCCATTTCTGTTGCGGGGTCCGACTGCATGTGAATTCATGCAGGCACCTTGGGCACCTCCCTTCAGATTGTGTCGCCCAGGTGTTCCGTCCGGGCACAACAACCATAACATACATACCCAACGATAGCTCAAATTGTCACAGAGATCTAGGACGTCTCAGGCGAGAGCCTCGTTTGCAAGCAAAGAGAGCCAACCTCCGTCCGTGTAGTTGCTGCACATTTTGAGCATCGGATCATCGATTAAAAGGGCACCCTGCGGGAGCCCCATTTTGCGCTCGAGAATGCATTTCGGAACGGATCGACTCGGCAGGAGGAAACGTTGACAACCACAGCGCCGCCTGGGGTCCCTATAGGGGGCCACAAGGTTGGAGGGCAGAAACTCTCGAAACAGTTTGGGTAGTAATTCTATGCCGCACTGCCAGGCAGAGAACACCACAGCCCCATCCAACCTCTAGGGCGTGGGGGCTGACCAGTTGTGAACCAACAGGTATAACGAGGGAGGAGGGGTCGCAGACTGATGCTGTCGACGATGCCTGATCGAATGGTCCCGAGCAAATCGCCAGAGAGCAACGTCGAGGAGGGAGGGAGGGAGGTGCGTGCGGAAGACAGGGGGGTCGGCGATGTAAACATACAGAAACCTAGCAGACAACTAACGAGCCTTCGCGTACGCTTTACGTGACGTGCTGCAGGACACGGCGGCTGATGGGCGGGGGGCCCTATGGGCGAAATCCCGCGGCCGTTCCTGACCGCCGCCGGCACACGCGGGAATCTAGTTCTAAGACAGGCATGTCCCTCTACAGGAGGGCTGTTCAAGAATAGTCAAAACATAGTCTGGGGACAATTTTGTTGACAATTTTTTGCTCATTTTATTTTTGTGACTATTTTTGATGTTTCTGCTGAAATCCGCCTGCAGGGGGACATGCCCGACCTAAACCTGG